TTTTTTCATCTCTAGTTCGTAGTCCCTGCACCTCACAGACGAGAGAGAGAGAACCCCGTTCTTATTGTGGCAGAATATGCGTTACTATGATCCTTCCAGCCGGAGGTTGAGGTGCCCCGGAATTTAGCGTAAATCCACATGTACTCGGGGGGCGGCTCATGTACCCGTGTCCTGGTTAGGTGCCCATATAAGTCATCCTCACCGACTATACGCGTCTAGGTCTCACAACCGGTGCTGAACCTGGGGTGGCTCGAAGTTTGAGTAGATGAGACAGCGCCATAGAGGTCATTGCAGTCAGAATCCCAGCCTCCAGTTACCACCCCTCAGAGTTGGCAGCCTTTCGAACCCAGGCTTTAAGCACGTCAGTTGAGGAATGCACAGATGTTTCGCGAGGATGAATTCCCCAGTGTGTTGGACTCCGTACCCTCTAATGGGCTCCGAGCCTGTCAATCAGCTGGCCGAGTGAGAATGCAGGCATCATGCAGTCAACCGGGAACTCGCAATACTGAAGCAGTATTTGGTGGGGAGGCCAGTAGCGAAGATGAGAGAGGTCGGGGGGGGGAGAGGAAAGCTCTTCCCATTTGGCCTTAACTAGAGAGCCACGTCCATTGTGTGTCCTACAGCACAAACTGGCGCTGCATCTACCTCAATCTCTCTCTGTCTTCTCTGGTCCACTTTGCTTCCATGGCAAGGCAATGGCAAGATGTTCGTAAGGAAGCGTAGGTGAAATGGCTGACAAAATAAAGTAGACCGAACATATATATATATATATATATATATATATTTAAGTAAAATTTGTAGATGTTTTTCTTTTTCCACATCACTAGGTACTCCTACCATTAATCCCATGCGAAGGTCTCCACGGTCTTCCCTATTTGGCCATTTGCATACCGTAATGAGCTCGCCAGCGATCGCATCAGACGAACCTGGCGGCCTAAACGCTCACCCTTGGTTCGACGCGCAGCGCACTGTCGACGATCTGGGAAGATATTTCTATTTTTCCAACCTGTCGGTGGACTCTGCAATCAGCAAGGAAGTATCAGGCCGCACTCGGTGATGATCCCGGTGACCTCTGCAGTGCCACCCCTCCCCCCAAGACCGGACCTTTTTCTCCTAAACCCCATACCCCATCAGATTATGCCCCCCCCCGCAAGAGCAACAGCTTTTCTTTTTAAAAACCCCAAGTTTTTTCAATGTCTGCTCAAAAAACAATGTATCATGACAATTGGCCTCGCCAACAAACTGAGATATCATATTTGGCACCACGACACATATGTACAAATAGGGAACTCAAAGGCAATCTACCTATATATCCCTTAAATATACTGATACTGCTGCGGTAAGGACGACTTGCATGGCCACCTAAACGGAACACAGGAACGAGAAAGCCCCGCCAAACTAAAATATGTGGCTATGTAATAAATTTCCCAGTGTCTTAACCCTAACATAAAACTAGACAGTAACCTTAATCTTAATCCTTATTCTACCCTAAACCCCTAACATTGAACTTAAACTTAACTTTAAACCTAACCCTAACAGTCACCTTAAGCCTAAACGTAGTTTCCCGGGATTT